ACTGCTACCTTTGTTCACAATTTATTAGGTGCAAAAACAGGTCCCCAATTTCAGGATGATACAACTCAAAAACTGTTTCTGATGCATGCAGCATACTTTGTCGTGCGCGCTTCGCGAACTCAAGTGAATGGAATGATTTAAGAAACCATGACTAAGACTTTTACTCGCATTCGCGAGGACACAGTTCTTTAGCTGCGCCCTACCGCGGCATTTTCTGTCCTTTTTGTAATTTTTGCTTTTTTTTCTTGTACTCAAATATCTCCTTTTTGGAGGAAATAAAGTGTGATGATGATGATGACGAGTACATTATATAAATATCATGTTATATTAACTACCGTACATACGAGTACATTATATAAATGCATCGTGTTATATTAACGATTGTACACACGAGTACATTATATAAATATCATGTTATATTAACTATTGTACTGTTTACTCATAATTTGTTCAATAAACTTTTCGGGATCACAAAAATTATATATGAGTCATCTCCCTTAGAACATAACGATAAGTCATTACTCTCAGTGTCCCAATATAACCCTTAGACAAAACAGGAGTTAGCCAAAAGTTACATGTGAGAATAGCTTATTGTCGTGCGATCAGACCTTAACTAGGATAATATTATAGTCAATGAGAGGAAACACTCGATTCCGTGTAAATTGGTCGATAATGACGGATCCATTCGTGATGAAAAGGAAACGACTGAATAGTTAAAACATGACTTCGCAATATTAACAGGACGAATTATTTTAACAAACAATCCAACTAACCGGTCACTCGAGACGGAAACTCTGGATTGTGTTCTGGTTGTTTGGGGAAAAATCGTTAAATAGATATTATGGAGTAATATAGGATGACTCTCAAATCCTACCGTTTGTTTTGTCGTTTAATTCCCTCAGCTGTTTGTATACATCTCTCTATGTGTGTGCTTACCTGAATTTTGTTTTTGTTGTTGGGTGCCATGTACGATGTCGAATGTTTATTTCAGACCGTTTTATGAGATAATTACTACTAGTGAACACGTCATACATTGTGAAAAGAAAACTTCTATTCAATGTCATTACTTCGTATGCCATGAGTAAGTTAAAAAAAAATCAAATGTCAATAGATTAATGTGAATGAAAGATGAAAGAATGCCTGATTTGACTGAAGTTGGTTGTTTAAGGGGAAGTCCAGCACACCTCAACTCTGGCCTTCCCTATTGAGTTAATATTCTAAAAAAAAATAGGAAATAAGTGAAATAAAGAGGAATATTTTCTTATCTTAACAGAATACTAATGATATAGTAGTATATGTGTTAACCTACCAGGACGTTAAGTACGTGAGGTCGTAAGACCCATAAGATTCTATGTAAATAGACTCGAAGTGATTATGAATAAATTTGATAAACGTGGTATTGCAGAAACTTCGTCTAGACCAGACTCACCTATAGACCTACAAGACCAGACTTACCTACAGACCTACTAGACCAGACTTACCTATATACCTACTAGACCAGACTCACATATGGATCTACTAGATCAGACTTACCTATATACCTACATTTTACTAGACCAGACTGACCTATATACATGTACCTACTAGACCTGACTTACCTATAAACCTACTAGACCAGACTTACCTATAGACCTACTAGACCAGACTTACCTATACACTTACTAGACCAGACTCACATATGGATCTACTAGATCAGACTTACCTATATACCTACATTTTACTAGACCAGACTTACCTATATACATGTACCTACTAGACCTGACTTACCTATAAACCTACTAGACCAGACTTACCTATAGACCTACTAGACCAGACTTACCTATATACCTACTAGACCAGACTCATATATGGATCTACTAGGTCAGACTTACCTATATACCTACATTTTACTAGACCAGACTTACCTATATACCTACATTTCACTAGACCAGACTTACCTATATACCTACTAGACCTGACTTACCTAAAGACCTACTAAATCAGACTTACCTATAGACCTACAAGACCAGACTTACCTATAGACTAACTAGACCGGACTTACATATATACCTACGAGACCAGACTTACCTATATACTTACTAGACCAGACTCACATATGGATCTACTAGGTCAGACTTACCTATATACCTACATTTTACTAGACCAGACTTACCTCTACACCAACTAGACCAGACTTACCTATAGACCAACTAGACCGGACTTACATATATACCTACTAGACCAGACTCATCTATTGACCTACTAGACCAGACTTACCTATATACCTACTAGACCAGACTCATATATGGATCTACTAGGTCAGACTTACCTATATACCTACATTTTACTTGACCAGACTTACCTATACACCTACAAGACTAGAATTACCTATAGACCTACTGGACCAGTCTAAACTATAGACCTACTAGACCAGACTCACATATGAACTTACTAGACCAGACTCACCAATATACCTACTAGATCTGACTCACCTATATACCTACTAGACCTGACTTACCTATAGACCTACTAGACAAGATTGTCATATAGATCTACTAGACCAGACTCACTTATAGACCTACTAGACCAGACTTACCTATATACCTACTAGACAAGACTTACCTATAGACCTACTAGACCAGACTCACATATGAACTTACTAGACCAGACTTACCTATAGACCTACTAGACCAGACTCACCCATATACCTACTAGACCAGACTCACCAATATACCTACTAGACCAGACTCACCAATATACCTACTAGATCTGACTCACCTATATACCTACTAGACCTGACTTACCTATAGACCTAATAGACAAGATTGTCATATAGATCTACTAGACCAGACTCACTTATAGACCTACTAGACCAGACTCACATATGGATCTACTAGGTCAGACTTACCTATAAACCTTCATTTTACTAGACCAGAATTACCTACAGTATATACATGTACCTACTAGACCAGACTTACCTATACACCTACTAGACCATACTTACCTATAGACCAACTAGACCAGACTTACATATATACCTACTAGACCAGACTCACATTTGGATCTACTAGGTCAGACTAACCTATATACCTACATTTTACTTGACCAGACTTACCTATACACCTACTAGACCATACTTACCTATAGACCTACTAAATCAGACTTACCTATAGACCTACTAGATCAGATTTACCTATAGACACAATAGACCAGACTCACATATAGACCTGCAAAACCAGACTTACCTATATACATACTAGACCAGACTTACCTATACACTTACTAGACCAGACTCACATATGCATCTACTCGATCAGACAAACCTAAATACCTACATTTTACTAGACCAGACTTACCTATATACCTACTAGACCTGACTTACCTATAGACCTACAAGACCAGACTTACCTATATACCTACTAGACCAGACTCACATATGGATCTACTAGGTCAGACTTACCTATATACCTACATTTTACAAGACCAGACTTACCTATACACCTACTAGATCAGACTCACCTATAGACCTACTAGACCAGACTCACATATAGACCTACTAGACAAGACTCACATATGGACCTACTAGACCAGACTTACCTATATACCTACTAGACCAGACTCACATATGGACTTACTAGACCAGACTAACCTATATACCTACTAGACGAGACTCACCTATAGACCAACTAGATCAGACTTACCTATAGACCTTCTAGACCAGACTTACCTATAGACCTACTAGACCAGACTTACATATAGACCTACTAGACCAGACTCACCCATAGACCTACTAGACCAGACTCACCTATATACCTACTAGACCTGAGTCACATATATACCTACTAGACCTGACTTACCTATAGACCTAATAGACCAGACTGTCATATAGATCTACTAGACCAGACTCACTTATAGACCTACTAGACCAGACTTACCTATATACCTACCAGACAAGACTTACCTATAGACCTATTAGACCAGACTTACCTATATACCTACTAGACCAGACTTATATATGGACCTACTAGACCAGACTTACCTATATACTTACTAGACCAGACTTACACTTAGACCTACTAGACCAGACTCACATATACGCCTACTAGACCAGACTTACATATAGACCATACTAGACCAGACTCACCTATAGACCTACTAGACCAGACTTACATATAGACCTACTAGAACAGACTCACCTATGGACCTACTAAATTATAAATACTTTTACATGTCTGACATTAAGTTTATAAAGAAAATGAGAAGATCAAAAGGGGGTCTTTATTGTAGCCAGCGCCTACACAAAGGCATTTACAAATGTAACTTGTCTATAAAAGACATTACGGACTTAGGTTTAATTTAGATACACATACATTTGGCTAAGAATTTGATTGATACCTGGCAATGATATTTTCATAATCTAACCTAGCCCGAGTTTCTTCTGGCGCTGACACCAGACTTAGACATGTATCTGTCAAAATGTCTAAGACTAGTGTCAGGGCTATAGGAAAACTCGCGCTACATCAAACCCGAATATGTACATCACACAATCTTGGTTTGGCCATTAGCTCAAGCAATGGGAATAGTATGTTCTCATGTGATTTTAATGTTAGGATTGGAACTTTAACAGACTTTGTCAAGTCACCTCACTGACGACGTATACCAGATTTAAACCGGAATGCCCAAGGGGAAGCTACTCCTGGAAACGTGTGGACTCTGTTGTAAATTGTACTTATTTTGACGCCAATGAAGGCCACAGTTGTTTAGATTACATTATCATATGTGACCGCTATCAAATTCCATATTCAAAATTATAACTGGTAAATATTTTCTTGCTTTGTAAAGTTCACAAAAGCCTGCGACTCTGAGTGGAGTGGGGAGGCCTCTTTGTCAAGCTATGTGAGTCATAGCTTGCCAAACGGTCCTGTCGGTCTTGAGATTGTGTAATATGTAAAACTTTTGATACATACATGTACATAGTTGTTTTGTTTTTGTGTGTGTGTGAGGGGGTGGGGGTCCGTTTTCGGAACATCCAGGATCACATGGAAACGGAAGCTACGGCCAGACACCGCCGAAAAGAAATAGTAGTTAAGTAAAAAAGAAAAGAGAGAAAAAAAATATTGGAGTTGTTACAATAGGGGCAGCAGATACCTTCGTGTTTATGCAGAAGAAACAGGGTGAAAACCCCACGTTGATGACACATTAGTCACCTTTTACGACATGCAATGGGAAAGTTACCTGAACCGACGAAGGTTCGCATTACACAGATGTTATACAGTGTAGTACATAGTTATGTGTTATGTACAGTGTAACCTATTTAATGTCTATCACATTGCATCGTTGGTATACAGTAAACGTGGTAGAGGTATGATTAGATAACCTCAATCATCGTTACACACCAGTAACATTTAACACACGTTTAGTTTGTCATTCTGGAGATGGCTAAGTTGACCCACGGTATCAAATAGCTGGGATTTTTAGAACAGTTTACCTGTAATAAACAGTACGGAAGCAGGAAGAAAAGGGAAATTCCCCTACCTTACCCTGTTTGTAACTTATTTATAGAATTTACATAATGGGATTTTTGATAAAACCAGAAAAGGAAGTGGCTCTGAGCCTGATTTACCGTATACACCTATACATCAATTAAGTCCCACGGTCAGCAACCATCACGTACGCTATGTTGATGTGAAGACGTGTGGAGAGTTACGCTGTCCCTAACGTACACGTGAGAGCTGTATCAGGTAAGTGTGTTTACATTTCTCGGGTATCATCTAACATTGACGACCCCATGGTTTAGTGTATAAGGCTTAGTAACACTAAATATTGCTTGATGTGCGATCCGCGTGCTGTACCCCTGTACGGCTGTATGATTTGTGTCGTACAGCATATCCTCCCAGTCGTACCACTGTACAGCCGTATGACCTGTGTCATATCGAATATCCCCCCAGTCGTACCCCTGTACGGCCGTATGACCTGTGTCGTACCAAATATCCCCCCATTCGTACCCCTGTACGGCCGTATGACTTGTGTCGTACCGAATATCCCCCCAGTCGTACCCCTGTACGGCCGTATACCCTGTGTCGTACCGAATACCCCCCCATTCGTACCCCTGTAAGGCCGTATGACTTGTGTCGTACCGAATATCCACACATTCGTACCCCTGTACAGCCGTATGACCTGTGTCGTACCGAATAACCCCCCAGTCGTACCCCTGTACGGCCGTGTGACATGTGTCGTACCAAATATCCCCCCATTCGTACCCCTGTACGGCCGTGTGACCTGTGTCGTACCGAATATCCCTAAAGTCGTACCCCTGTACGGCCGTATAACCTGTGTCGTACCGGATATCCACTCAGTCGTACCCCTGGACGACCGTATGACTTGTGTCGTACCGAATACCACCCATTCGTACCCATGTACGGCCGTATGACTTGTGTCATACCGAATATCCGCCCAGTCGTACCCCTGTACGACCGTATGACCTGTGTCGTACCGAATACCCCCCATTCGTACCCATGTACGGCCGTATGACTTGTGTCGTACCGAATATCCCCACATTCGTACCCCTGTACGGCCGTGTGACATGTGTCGTACCAAATATCCCCCCATTCGTACCTCTGTACGGCCGTATGACCTGTGTCGTACCGAATATCCCCCCATTCGTACCCCTGTACGGCCGTATGACCTGTGTCGTACCGAATATCCACTCAGTCGTACCCCTGTACGACCGTATGACTTGTGTCGTACCGAATATCCCCCCATTCGTACCCCTGTACGGCCGTATGACCTGTGTCGTACCGAATATCCACTCAGTCGTACCCCTGTACGACCGTATGACTTGTGTCGTACCGAATATCCCCCCATTCGTACCCCTGTACGGCCGTATGACCTGTGTCGTACCGAATATCCACTCAGTCGTACCCCTGTACGACCGTATGACTTGTGTCGTACCGAATATCCCCCCATTCGTACCCCTGTACGGCCGTATGACCTGTGTCGTACCGAATATCCACTCAGTCGTACCCCTGTACGACCGTATGACTTGTGTCGTACCGAATATCCCCCCATTCGTACATGTACCCCTGTACGGCCGTATGACCTGTGTCGTACCGAATATCCCCCCAGTCGTACCCCTGTACGGCCGTATAACCTGTGTCGTACCGAATATCTCCCAATTCATACCTCTGTACGGCCGTATGACTTGTGTCGTACCAAATATCCACTCAGTCGTACCCCTGTACGGCCGCATGACTTGTGTCGTACCGGATATCCACTCAGTCGTACCCCTGTACGGCCGTAGGACCTGTGTCGTACCGAATATCCCCAAAGTCGTCCCCCTGTACGGCCGTATGACCTGTGTCGTACCGAGTATCCCCAAAGTCGTACCCCTGTACGGCCGTATGCCCTGTGTCGTACCGAATACCCCCCATTCGTACCCATGTACGGCCGTATGACTTGTGTCGTACCGAATATCCCCCCATTCGTACCCCTGTACGGCCGTATGACTTGTGTCGTACCGAATATCCCCCCAGTCGTACCCCTGTACGGCCGTATAACCTGTGTCGTACCGGATATCCACTCAGTCGTACCCCTGTACGTGCGTATGTCCTGTATCGTATATCCACTCAGTCGTACCCCTTTACGGCCGTATGACTTGTGTCGTACCGAATATCCATTCAGTCGGACCCCTGTACGGCCGTATGACCTGTGTCGTAACGAATATCCACTCAGTCGTACCCCTGTACGACCGTATGACTTGTGTCGTACCGAATAACCCCCCATTCGTACATGTACCCCTGTACGGCCGTATGACCTGTGTCGTACCGAATATCCCCCCATTCATACCCCTGTACGGCCGTATGACCTGTGTCGTACCGAATATCCACTCAGTCGTACCCATGTACGGCCGTATGACCTGTGTCGTACCGAATATCCACTCAGTCGTACCCCTGTACGGCCGTATGACTTGTGTCGTCACAGGCCTTTATATATAGCTAGAGGAAGACACGTCATGGGCCTTTATATACAGCTAGAGGAAGACACGTCACGGGCCTTTATATATAGCTAGAGGAAGACACGAATATCCCCCCAGTCGTACCCCTGTACGGCCGTATGACCTGTGTCGTACCGAATATCCACTCAGTCGTACCCATGTATGGCCGTATGACCTGTGTCGTACCGAATATCCCCTCAGTCGTACCCCTGTACGGCCGTATGACTTGTGTCGTCACAGGTCTTTATATATAGCTAGAGGAAGACACCTCACGGGCCTTTATATACAGCTAGGGGAAGACACGTCACGGGCCTTTATATACAGCTAGAGGAAGAAACGTCACGGGCCTTTATATACAGCCAGAGGAAGACACATAACGGGCCTTTGTATACAGCTAGAGGAATACCCCTCACGGGCCTTTATATACAGCTAGAGGAAGACACCTCACGGGCCTTTGTATACAGCTAGAGGAATACACCTCACGGGCCTTTATATACAGCTAGAGGAAGACACGTCACGGGCCTTTATATACAGCCAGAGGAAGACACATCACGGGCCTTTGTATACAGCTAGAGGAAGACACCTCACGGGTCTTTTTATATAGATAGAGGAAGACACGTCACGGGCCTTTATATAAAGACAGAGGAAGACACCTCACAGGCCTTTATATATAGATAGAGGAAGACACGTCACGGGCCTTTATATACAGATAGAGGAAGACACCTCACGGGCCTTTATATATAGATAGAGGAAGACACGTCACGGGCCTTTATATACAGATAGAGGAAGACACCTCACGGGCCTTTATATATAGATAGAGGAAGACACGTCACAGGCCTTTATATAAAGACAGAGGAAGACACCTCACAGGCCTTTATATATAGATAGAGGAAGACACGTCATGGGCCTTTATATACACATAGGGGAAGACACGTCACGGGCCTTTATATACAGCTAGAGGAAGACACGTCACGGGTTTGAAACTAGAAGATTATCTATATCTTCTTTATGATTCTGTGTGTTTACACGGAGTTCATTTTCATTCTTAAGGCACACAAACATCCCATACCAAACATTACGTACTGTTTTAATGGAATATTCAAACGCCTACAATGATCCAAGATATGACAAGATACAATACATATCCAGCACACACACAGGCATACACACATAGGGAGATATTAGCCAGGTGGTATAGGACTGGTAGTTAGCGCCTGATAAGGCAAGTCCTGCGAATTCCTCAATATTGTATTGATTCATATATATGCTAATTGTATTGACTGTATAAAATTGTATATCTATGTACTGTAAAGCGCTTTAGAGTGGCTTATGTTAGCTAGACAGGGAGCTATATCAAATGCTGTACATTTATTTATTTAAGATTATATTATTAATGGGATATGATTCCTTTGAAATTGCATAACCCTTTTCAAGGAAGGGAAGTACATTTATTTTTCATATAAAAAGACCATTCAAAGTAAGATTTATTTCCTTAAAGTATGTTGGAAATAGAATCAGCCAATTGATTTACATTCTCGTTCGTCTTCCTGTCAGTGACTATGTAGGTCTACAGAAGCAGTGTATTTGTTCAACATGCAATTATTTTCTTCATTATTCAAAAGAAAATTCTACGAAAACACGTACATTTTTTAAAGGCGAGTTCCTATAAATCTTACAATAGAAAGCCGGTGACCAATGAAAAGATATGCAGATTTGACCCAGTTCCAGCAAAAATATGTTACCTCTTTAATATGCCGCGCCGGAGGGCAGATTGACGATACTATTGAGTTGAAGATTAAACACGGGACCCTTCACAGATTTGTATGATAATTAAAACAGACATCATTAACACTCTCCTCAACAATTGGGATTGAACGCTTTTTTTTTGCATTGTAATTTTGAAATTGATAAAATAAGATGGGATGACCAAGACAATGGCCTGTAGGTATACAGAGTTGATTACGTTCTCTTCTTTGGTTTAGTAATATCTTAGTTTTGGGTGGCATTTTAACCACATTCATTTTCGGATTCACTTTTTTGAATTGACCACCTGGAACGGACCATTTCTATTCTACTTATGTCTACAGTCTAATATTACTTTCTCACAATTATACCAGGATTTAATATACTTATGAAGGGTGTCGTCAATGAAGAATAACACGCGTATCCTATCTGATGGCTGATCGTATTCTCCTTCTACCGGTTTGTTAATGCTATATGGGTAAATCTTTCTTCTGCTCATATTTTGTCCTAGTTTCATCGATTTTGAGTTCTAATCAAAGTCTCGTTTTTTGTTTTTTCCCATCTTGTCTTACATCACTACTTAACAAGATCTTTCTGATGGTCAAACATTTCTTCCGACTGGTTCCATCATCCAATACATGTTATCCTTGCAATCTAATTAAAACCAGATATCTCATTACACTACGTTACGTAGTGTAACGAGAGATCTGATTTTAATTAAATTGGTTTTCCTTGGAGACAACAAAAACATACATATTTTACTCCACAAAGATGTTTAGAGATGTTCGATCACGTGACGATGATATAACATCACGTGCATATTAATCACATTCATCGTCATTTATATTTTTTTAAACATCAACACAGTAACATACTTAACAGTAGTTTTATGTATCAGTATTTTACGTATTGGATATGTATTTGCTTTAAAAGACAAACATCCTCAATTAACATTATATCAGCGGTTCTGTCTGTCATTGGCTCCCTGCAGGTAGGGCGTATGAATTGTACCTGCTGCCCCCATTGCATGATCGTAAGAGGCGACTTAATTTGGGATTTTACATTTTCTCTTCTTTCTAAACAACTTTCTTCTTCCTTGAAAATGCCTTGCTTTTGGCCTTTAGTTGAGTGTCCACCCCTGTGAGGAAGGCTTTGGGTTCTGTCCCCTGGCCGAGACATACCAGAGTCTAGATATGTAAATATGGTAGTTTCTACTCCTGCTTAACACTCAGCAATTTAGGAGTGGGACCACTGGTTCGCCCGTTGTTAATATAATGTGACCGGATGGGATGTCTTGCTGGGTGTCTTCGGCAGTATGTTTCAGTGAGATCGCACTATAAAGTCGGCATCCGTTCCGCGCTATCACAAGGAGACAGACACGAACATATCGCAGCTTCCCAAAATACATACACATACATGTATACTACACATATGCATCTTGCTCACAGGGGAGGCCGTCCTTCAATAAGCATAGCTGTTGATAGAACGTTAAACATTAATAAACCAAACCAAACTAAACCAATCATTTCCTTGGGTAATGTATACCGATTTTGTCCACACCTAGTGCGTGTTTGTAATATAAACCTTTATCAAGAGAAAATGCCACCTGGGCTTGATAACATAACAGCCTTGTCAATTGTGTTCCACCTTCTTCTGTTTCATTAAGGTTTCAGACGCTTTCAGCACGCAAGTTATGTAACACGGGGTATGTTTCTCGAATTCATTACCATAAGCCGTGAAATAAAAAAAAAATCTCTCAGTTACTGCGCTTTTAATTTCGAAAAAACAATTCATGCATTTTGAAGAAGGTATATTTACTTGTTAGGAGAAAAACACCTTCAAGTACTCATGGTTTTTGCGGAGTATCTGAAATAAACAATATAATGTTATTATATGGGACTTTCAATTGATAGATTGCATAATCTTTATAAATGTGTCTGTGAAGTGTTCCTTTTCATCCGTGACTCCTTTAAACTTTCATGTCTACTTTCCCACCGTTTTTTGTGTATCAACACGGCACTAGTTTAACTGGAAATATATAATCCGTATTACTTAGGAAAGCCATAATAGGTTTTTATTAGTTGATACACGAATGGCAAAAGTCTTCCTGTTTATTGTGGGCTGTGATGTCTGTAACAGACACCGAAGTTACTAATATGTAAATGGGGCAAGATATGTATTGCCGTACAAAGAGGAAGCTAAAGACATCAGCCAGGTGTGTCGTTTAAAGGTCGTCTTATTTCTACAGGTAGTCTGACGGAGGAGGACGCCGCGGGTATAGCTTCCCTACTAATTACACAGATAAAAGGTGAGAGACAGAAATGAGTGTAGATATACTAATATTTTAAAACTCATAGAAAGTCCCACAGTATCTGTATTTACAAAATCCTTTATTAGCCACTTATATCATCGATAATGGAAAGATACATTAAAAGTTTTGGCATGAGGAAGGGTCATCCAAGTACAGATCACCTACTTGTGTTTAAAGATCACATTAAATATGATTGGTTCTAACTGTGATATTTCCATTAAGAAGGGACATTTAAAGTGTTGATCATTTAAGAAATGAGTAGTGTTTTTATGTACAAAATCTATACTTCCGCATAGTTAGGGATTACCACAACTCTGTCTCATGTTGGTTTTTGGTTTTACTAAACATATTTACTCAAAGAAGAGAAACGAAAGCTGGACAAATGAGGAAACACTAACACGGCGATCAGAAAGAATTATTTTAATGGCCAGTTATCCCCCGATCAAAGTCAACTGGACTGCTTGTCGAGCCTAGTGTACCTACATTGTGTATTTTGTTGCTAAGATACTAGGCTTCGTTAGTGTTTTGTTATGATACCGTATAGTTACTAGGCTTCGTTAGTGTTTTGCTATGATACTATATAGTTACTAGGCTTCGTTAGTGTTTTGCTACGATACTATATAGTTACTAGGCTTCGTTAGTGTTTTGCTTTGATACTATATAGTTGCTAGGTTTCGTTAGTGTTTTGCTACGATACTATATAGTTACTAGGCTTCGTAAGTGTTTTGTTATGATACTATATAGTTACTAGGCTTCGTTAGTGTTTTGCTTTGATACTATATAGTTACTAGGCTTTAGTGTTTTGCTTTGATACTATATAGTTACTATAGTTACTAGGCGTGGTTTGTGTGTTGCTTTGATACTATATAGTTACTATAGCAACTAGGCTTCGTTAGTGTTTTGCTATGATACTACACAGTTACTAGGCTTCGTTAGTGTTTTGCTTTGATATTATATAGTTACTAGGCTTCGTTAGTGTTTTGCTTTGGTACTATATAGTTACTATAGTTACTAGGCTTCGTTTGGTTGTTGCTTTGATACTATATAGTTACTAGGCTTTAGTGTTTTGCTTTGATACTATATAGTTACTATAGTTACTAGGCGTGGTTTGTGTGTTGCTTTGATACTATATAGTTACTAGGCATCGTTAGTGTTTTGCTTTGATACTATAAAGTTACTAGGCTTTGTTAGTGTTTTGCTTTGATACTATATAGTTACTGGGCTTCGTTTGTGTGTTGCTTTGATACTATATAGTTACTATAGCAACTAGGCTTCGTTAGTGTTTTGCTATGATACTACATAGTTACCAGGCTTCGTTAGTGTTTTGCTTTGATACTATAAAGTTACTAGGCTTTGTTAGTGTTTTGCTTTGATACTATATAGTTACTATAGTTACTAGGCTTCGTTTGGTTGTTGCTTTGATACTATATAGTTACTAGGCTTAGTTTGTGTGTTGCTTTGATACTATATAGTTACTAGGCTTCGTTAGTGTTTTGCTATGATACTACATAGTTACTAGGCTTCGTTAGTGTTTTGCTTTGATACTATATAGTTACTATAGCAACTGGGCTTCGTTAGTGTTTTGCAATGATACTATATAGTTTCTATAGTTACTAGGCGTGGTTTGTGTGTTGCTTTTATACTATATAGTTACTATAGGTACTAGGCTTCGTTTGTGTGTTGCTTTGATACTATATAGTTACTATAGCAACTAGGCTTCGTTAGTGTTTTGCTATGATACTAAATAGTTACTAGGCTTCGTTAGTGTTTTGCTATGATACAACATAGTTACTAGGCTTCGTTAGTTTTTGCTTTGATACCATATAGTTACTAGGCTTCGTTAGTTTTTGCTAAGATACTATACAGTTACTAGGCTTCGTTAGTGTTTTGTTATGATACTATATAGTTACTAGGCTTCGTTAGTGTTTTGCTTTGATATTATATAGTGACTTGGCTTCGTTAGTGTTTTGCTACGATACTGTATAGTTACAAGGCTTCGTTAGTGTTTTGCTACGATACTGTATAGTTACTAGGCTTCGTTAGTGTTTTGCTACGATACTATATAGTTACTAGGCTTCGTTAGTGTTTTTCTTTGATATTGTATAGCTACTAGGCTTCGTTAGTGTTTTGCTTTGATACTATATAGTTACTAAGCTTCGTTAGTGTCTCTATGTAAAAGTCAGATATATAAATATCACTGTCCTGTGTAAATATCTATAGTGCTACGAAGGAAGTAAGCTTTTTGTTGCACGATTTCGCCATTTCGTCCACTTACGACTCATCCCTGGTTCTCATAAGTTAAATGTAGTTAGTTAGAATTGGTTGGTTAAGAATGCATTGCTATGTGGGATCCTCATACTGTTAAACGGCTTGACTTCCTGTTACAGAAGCAGCACCATGGCTTCCTCTGTTATCGGCAAGGCTGTCATACATTACGTTGAATCGGATGGATGTTCTTGGGGATCATTTCTACAGAAGAAGCTAAGCGAGGCTCAGTATAGCATACCCACGGAGCTGCACGAGATACGCGCTCCCTGGCGTGAGACTTCCAAATATGACGTCAACCTAGCTCTAGTCAGTCCGGATTTTCTTGTGTTGGATTCCATTGAAAATTTTCAAAGATGCAGTACCGTACATTCATTAGCCATACTACTTGGCACAAGTGAAACTGAATTTCATGAATCTGTGACGAGACATTTTCCCCAGAGCCGACTCCTAAAGTGGGTTTGTTACTGTCCACAACAAACCCGGGACTCGGTCAAGGGTCTCTTGCTGACCATCATAAATATGTATGAGAATCTGCATGGTGGGGATGAAATTGACGATGAAGAAAGTTGTGCGGAAGATCCCCTGTTCGAACTGGTGCCCAAAACAAGCTCTGAGGACAGAGCGTCCATGGAAGGCGAGAATAACGTTGACTATGACACTTTGCCGCCAGCCCGCCAGATAAACGCCCTTCATGACGTCATGAAACTTCCTGGCAGTGAGGTACATCTGTCATGATAAACAAGTAAATAAAGATGATATACTAGTAAATCACAACTAGCAGGTAAACAGAAGTAATTAAACTATGACATGCGATGTTTATGTGGGGAAAATTCCTTGTATCTTTGAAATAGTGACCCAAACTCGCTAGGCTAGATACGTATGTATAGAAGTTTGTATTAAAACTCTAATGACATTTTTGATTGTGTATTTTTTAAGGAAGATGAATACAAAGAGATATTGATTCTGCTAGAGCGGAGAGCTGAATCGGAAGTGATGTTGGCTTTAGATTCAGGAGAAAACATACCAACTGAAGAAATCCACAAGGCCGTGTACAAGGCTAGGATACACAGTGGGTATTTACACAATAAGACGTCCTGTTTTTCTCTGTCATTTGATTGATATTCATGGCATTATGAACTTATTAAAAAGAAATATAATAACATTTATCAAGATTTATGCAACTATAATATATGTGTGTCAGTGTACTACTCATCTGATATTTCAATGGCTCTTTAAACGTTAAAAATGTTTATTTATCAAACTTCCTTTTTTTTTATTTACCAGAAAATCTTATTCATGACAACGGCATTAAATTTTTCGCCGTCAGTAATCATCAAAGTTTCGGTTCAATGGAGTGCGAATTTGACTGTAAATCCCAAAATAACGTTCAGCAGACTCAACTTTCTAACGAAACCTTGAATCAAAGAAACAACAAGTCTTCCGAATCCTCAAGTCCGGATCCACCGTCCGGTCTGGATATCATACATGACATTCTGGAGAAGGAGACGAACCCGGTATACCTACTGTGTGAGGCTTTGAGGATACCGTATGTAGATCATGAACAACTAGATCAGTATTTGTCCGGGAAGTGCCGACGATTGAGAGTGACCGAACATTTCACGGAGCTAATGATGAAAGAGGACGCAGGTAAATACAATTATACAATTATAATTAATGTGTACAGCTAATTCAGGGAGGATTTTTATTACAGTGTTATAGTGTTCTACAATTGAAAATAAAAACAGACACATATATATAAATAACGTGACATAGTGTTTTGATTATTTACATATAAATGTAAATGTATTACTAATTTCTCCTTATCTTTTAAAACAATTCTTGTGTTCAAGCATATATATCATTTTTTTTTTATTGTATGACAGATGTTTTTTATGTAGAAGTGAAACACCTATGTGGTATAGTGTTTTTATTAATTGAAGTCCATGAGCGATTGATATGAAAATACTCAAATTGCATGTAATGATTTAGATTCTTCGTTTGAATGTTAACGAATTCGATGAAGTTCAGGGCCAGTTTTTCATGACATTTTGACTATTTATTATCAAGTTTACACCCGATAACAGAAACACGTATACACCCGATAACAGAAACACGTATACACCCGATAACAGAAACACGTATACACCCGATAACAGGTACACGTATACACCCGATAACAGGAACAAGTATACACCCGATAACAGGAACACGTATACACCCGATAACAGGAACAAGTATACACCCGATAACAGAAACAAGTATACACCCGATAACAGGTACAAGTATACACCCGATAACAGAAACAAGTATACACCCGATAACAGAAACACGTATACACCCGATAACAGGAACACGTATACACCCGATAACAGGAACAAGTATACACCCGATAACAGGAACAAGTATACACCCGATAACAGGTACAAGTATACACCCGATAACAGAAACAAGTATACACCCGATAACAGAAACAAGTATACACCCGATAACAGAAACAAGTATACACCCGATAACAGGAACACGTATACACCCGATAACAGGAACACGTATACACCCGATAACAGAAACAAGTATACACCCGATAACAGAAACAAGTATACACCCGATAACAGGAACAAGTATACACCCGATAACAGGAACACGTATACACCCGATAACAGAAACAAGTATACACCCGATAACAGAAACAAGTATACACCCGATAACAGGAACACGTATACACCCGATAACAGGAACACGTATACACCCGATAACAGAAACAAGTATACACCCGATAACAGGAACAAGTATACACCCGATAACAGGAACACGTATACACCCGATAACAGAAACAAGTATACACCCGATAACAGAAACAAGTATACACCCGATAACAGAAACACGTATACACCCGATAACAGGAACACGTATACACCCGATAACAGAAACAAGTATACACCCGATAACAGAAACACGTATACACCCGATAACAGGAACACGTATACACCCGATAACAGAAACAAGTATACACCCGATAACAGAAACACGTATACACCCGATAACAGGAACACGTATACACCCGATAACAGAAACAAGTATACACCCGATAACAGAAACACGTATACACCCGATAACAGGAACACGTATACACCCGATAACAGAAACAAGTATACACCCGATAACAGAAACACGTATACACCCGATAACAGGAACACGTATACACCCGATAACAGAAACAAGTATACACCCGATAACAGAAACACGTATACACCCGATAACAGGAACACGTATACACCCGATAACAGAAACAAGTATACACCCGATAACAGAAACACGTATACACCCGATAACAGGAACACGTATACACCCGATAACAGAAACAAGTATACACCCGATAACAGAAACACGTATACACCCGATAACAGGAACACGTATACACCCGATAACAGAAACAAGTATACACCCGATAACAGAAACACGTATACACCCGATAACAGGAACACGTATACACCCGATAACAGGAACAAGTATACACCCGATAACAGGAACACGTATACACCCGATAACAGAAACAAGTATACACCCGATAACAGAAACAAGTATACACCCGATAACAGAAACACGTATACACCCGATAACAGGAACACGTATACACCCGATAACAGAAACAAGTATACACCCGATAACAGAAACACGTATACACCCGATAACAGAAACAAGTATACACCCGATAACAGAAACACGTATACACCCGATAAAGGTACAAGTATACACCCGATAACAGGTACAAGTATTACACCCGATAACAGGTACAGGTATACACCCGATAACAGGTGCAAGTATACATCCGATAACAGGTAGAATCCGATAACAGGTACAAGTATACAACCGATAACAGGTACAAGTATTACACCCGATAACAGGTACAAGTATTACACCCGATAACAGGTACAAGTATTACACCCGATAACAGGTACAGGTACATCAGTAAATATGTTACACTGTTTCATAGTCGTTATAGATCTCATCAGGAAATATGCTACACTGTTTTATAGTCGTTATCGTGGTTTCATCAGGAAATATGTAACACTGTTTTATAGTCGTTATCGTGGTTTCATCAGGAAATATGTAACACTTTTTTATAGTCGTTATCGTGGTTTCATCAGGAAATATGCTACACTGTTTTATAGTCGTTATAGATCTCATCAGGAATTATGTTACACTGTCTTATAGTCGTTATAGATCTCATCAGGAATTATGTTTCACTGTCCTATAGTCGTTATAGATCTCATCAGGAATTATGTTACACTGTCATATAGTCGTTATAGATCTCATCAGGAAATATGTTACACTGTCTTATAGTCGTTATAGATCTCATCAGGAAATATGCTACACTGTTTTATAGTCGTTATAGATCTAATCAGGAAATATGTTACACTGTCTTATAGTCGTTATAGATCTCATCAGGAAATATGTTACACTATCTTATAGTCGTTATAGATCTCATTAGGAAATATGCTACACTGTTTTATAGTCGTTATAGATCTCATCAGGAAATATGTTACACTGTGTTATAGTCGTTATAGATCTTATCAGGAAATGTGTTACACTGTCTTATAGTCGTTATAGATCTCATCAGGAAATATGCTACATTGTTTTATAGTCGTTATAGATCTCATCAGGAAATATGTTACACTGTTTTATAGTCGTTATAGATCTCATCAGGAAATATGCTTCACTGTTTTATAGTCGTTATAGATCTCATCAGGAATTATGTTACACTGTCTTATATTCGTTATAGATCTCATCAGGAAATATGTTACACTGTCTTATAGTCGTTATAGATCTCATCAGGAAATATATTACACTGTGTTATAGTCGTTATTGATCTCATCAGGAAATATGTTACACTGTGTTATAGTCGTTATAGATCTCATCAGAAAATATGTTACACTGTGTTATAGTCGTTATAGATCTCATCAGGAAATATGTTACACTGTGTTATAGTCGTTATAGATCTCATCAGGAAATATGTTACACTGTCTTATAGTCGTTATTGATCTCATCAGGAAATATGCTACACTGTTTTATAGTCGTTATAGATCTCATCAGGAATTATGTTACACTGTCTTATAGTCGTTATAGATCTCATCAGGAAATATGCTACACTGTTTTATAGTCGTTATAGATCTCATCAGGAAATATGCTACACTGTTTTATAGTCGTTATAGATCTCATAAGGAAATATGTTACACTGTCTTATAGTCGTTATAGATCTCATCAGGAATTATGTTACACTGTCTTATAGTCGTTATAGATCTCATAAGGAAATATGCTACACTGTTTTATAGTCGTTATAGATCTCATCAGGAAATATGCTACACTGTTTTATAGTCGTAATAGATCTCATCAGGAAATATGTTACACTGTCTTATAGTCGTTATAGATCTCACCAGGAATTATGTTACACTGTCTTATAAAGCTTATAATAGCACTTTGTTGTTTCGTTGTCACTATCCATGATCTTGCAATGAGGACGGAATATTAATTTTATTTGACATAAAGTTAGTTGGTGGATGTTGTCCAATCACCGCATACCCTTCAGGAACACCTTGTCCCGTATTCATTTTACCACTTACAATTCAGGAACACCTTGTCCCGTATTCATTTAACCACTTACAATTCAGGAACACCTTGTCCCGTATTCATAAAACTGCATACCCTTCAGGAACACCTTGTCCCGTATTCATAAAAACGCATACCCTTCAGGAACACCTTGTCCCGTATTCATTTAACCACTTACACGTCAGGAACACCTTGTCCCGTATTCATTTAACCACTTACACTTCAGGAACACCTTGTCCCGTATTCATTAAACTACTTACACTTCAGGAACACCTTGTCCCGTATACATTTAACAACTTAANAGGAACACCTTGTCCCATATTCATTTAACCACTTACACGTCAGGACCACCTTGTCCCGTATTCATTTAATCACTTACACTTTAGGTACACCTTGTCCCGTATTCATTTAACCACTTACACGTCAGGAACACCTTGTCCCGTATTCATTTAACCACTTATCTCTCAGGAACACCTTGTCCGGTATTCATTTAACCACTAACCCTCAGGAACACCTTGTCCCATATTCATTTAACCACTTACCCCTCAGGAACACCTTGTTCCATATTCATTTAACCACTTACACGTCAGGAACACCTTGTCCCGTATTCATTTAACCACTTACACGTCAGGAACACCTTGCCCCGTATTCATTTAACCACTTATCTCTCAGGAACACCTTGTCCGGTATTCATTTAACCACTAACCCTCAGGAACACCTTGTCCCATATTCACTTAACCACTTACCCCTCAGGAACACCTTGTCCCATATTCATTTAACCACTTACACGTCAGGACCACCTTGTCCCGTATTCATTTAATCACTTACACTTTAGGTACACCTTGTCCCGTATTCATTTAACCACTTACACGTCAGGAACAACTTGTCCCGTATTCATTTAACCACTTACCCCTCAGGAACACCTTGTCCCATATTCATTTAACCACTTATACGTCAGGAACACCTTGTCTCGTATTTATTTAATCTTATACGTCAGGAACACCTTGTCCCGTATTCATTTAACCACTTACACGTCAGGAACACCTTGTCCCGTATTCATTTAATCTTACACGTCAGGAACACCTTGTCCCGTATTCATTTAACCACTTACACTTCAGGAACACCTTGTCCCATATTCATTTAACCACTTACACTTCAGGAACACCTTGTCCCGTATTCATTTAACCACTTACACTTCAGGACCACCTTGTCCCGTATTCATTTAAGCACTTACACTTCAGGAACACATATCCCGTATTCATTAAACCACATACCCTTCAGGAAAACCTTATCAAGTATTCATTTAACCACTTACATTTCAGAAACACATTGTCCCGTATTCATTTAACCACTTACACGTCAGGAACACCTTGTCCCGTATTCATTAAACCACTTACACTTCAGGAACACCTTGTCCCGTATTCATTTAACCACTTACACTTCAGGACCACCTTGTCCCGTATTCATTTAAGCACTTACACTTCAGGAACACATATCCCGTATTCATTAAACCACATACCCTTCAGGAAAACCTTATCAAGTATTCATTTAACCACTTACATTTCAGAAACACATTGTCCCGTATTCATTTAACCACTTACACGTCAGGAACACCTTGTCCCGTATTCATTAAACCACTTACACTTCAGGAACACCTTGTCCCGTATTCATTTAACCACTTACACGTCAGGAACACCTTGTCCCGTATTCATTTAACCACTTACAATTCAGGAACACCTTGTCCCGTATTCATAAAACCGCATACCCCTCAGAAACACCTTGTCCCGTATTCATTTAATCACTTACATTTCAGCAACACCTTGTCCCGTATTCATTTAATCACTTACATTTCAGAAACACCTTGTCCCGTATTCATTTAATCACTTACATTTCAGCAACACCTTGTCCCGTATTTATTTAACCACTTACACTTCAGGAACACCTTGTCCGGTATTCATTTAATCACTTACATTTCAGGAACACATTGTCTCGTATTCATTTAACCACTTACACGTCAGGAACATCTTGTCCCGTATTCATTTAACCACTTACACTTCAGGAACACCTTGTCCCGTATTCATTTAACACCTTGTCCCGTATTCATTTAACCACTTACACGTCAGGAACATCTTGTCCCGTATTCATCTAACCACTTACACTTCAGGTACACATTGTCCCGTATTCATTAAACCACTTACACTTCAGGAACTCCTTGTCCGGTATTCATTTAACCACTTACAATTCAGGAACACCTTGTCCGGTATTCCTTTAATCACTTACATTTCAGGAACACATTGTCTCGTATTCATTTAACCACTTACACGTCAGGAACTTCTTGTTCCGTATTCATTTAACCACTTACACTTCAGGTACACATTGTCCCGTATTCATATTCATTTAACCACTTACACGTTAGGAACACCTTGTCCCGTATGCATTAAATCACTTACACTTCAGGTGTCCCATATTCATTTAACCACTTACAATTCAGGAACACCTTGTCCGGGATTCATTTAATCACTTACACTTCAGGAACACGTTGTCCCGTATTCATTAAACCACTTACACTTCAGGAACTCCTTGTCCGGTATTCATTTAACCACTTATCTCTCAGGAACACCTTGTCCGGGATTCATTTAATCACTTACACTTCAGGAACACGTTGTCCCGTATTCATTAAACCACATACCCTTCAGGAACACCTTGACCCGTATTCATTTAACCACTTATCTCTCAGGAACACCTTGTCCCATATTCATTTAACCACTTACACTTCAGGAACACATTGTCCCGTATTCATTAAACCACATACCCTTCAGGAACACCTTGTCCCGTATTCATTTAACCACTTACACTTCAGGAACACCTTGTCCGGTATTCATTTAATTACTTACATTTCAGGAACACCTTGTCTCGTATTCATTTAACCACTTACACGTCAGGAACACCTTGTCCCGTATTCATTTAACCACTTACACTTCAGGAACACCTTGTCCGGTATTCATTTAACCACTTACCCCTCAGGAACACCTTGTCCCGTATTCATTTAACCACTTACCCCTCAGGAACACCTTGTCCCGTATTCATTTAACCACTTACCCCTCAGGAACACCTTGTCCCGTATTCATTTAACCACTTACCCCTCAGGAACACCTTGTCCCGTATTCATTTAACCACTTACCCCTCAGGAACACCTTGTCCCGTATTCATTTAACCACTTACACTTCAGGAACACCTTGTCCCGTATTCATTTAACCACTTACCCTTCAGGAACACCTTGTCCCGTATCCAGTTAACCACTTACACGTCAGGAACACCTTGTCCCGTATTCATTTAATCACTTACACTTCAGGAACACCTTCTCCCGTATTCATTTAACCACTTACCCTCACGGACACCTTGTCCCATATTCATTTAACCACTTACACTTCAGGAACACCTTGTCCCGTATGCATGGAACCGTTCAACCGTTCGCGTGCTCAAATTCAGATTATGTTTTGTTTTACTCTTCGGTATCCTGTTCAACTCTGTTTTGATTTTTTCAGGTAAAGACAGCGACAGTGAATGGCCAACCCTTCTTCATTTCTGTGCCGATACGAATTTATTACAGTCGACGAACGAGCTGCTTCAGATTCCATGTTTGGTTTCGGCCTGCCTCAAGTGTAACAGGAACCACGAGACACCCAGAGATATTGCAAGGAGGAATGGATTCACAGACATGGTCAATCTGTTGGAGAAACAACACACGACAGAGCAAACTAAAGGTACAACTGTCTTAACTATCAGTAGCCCAACTACAAATCTAATCAAATATTTTAAATAGACTTAATTAATGTTTCCTTATTTTTCTTACATCGTATTTGACAGGGGTTATATTTATTTCTCTTTCGATTATTAAAATGTTGTAATCCTCTATTTTAAATGGCATTATGTATTTTTGTCAACAAAATATCAGTAGTTTCATAAAACTGTACTCTAAACAAAACAATACAGTGGCAAGACTTAGGAGCTCAGATAGTGGAATATTGGATTCCAATGAAGACTCCTGTTTCCTCATAGATCCTACCGGCACATCACTGCGAGGCAAAACTGGTGGGAATGAAACCCGGAGCGTTGACAGCGGTGTGTCGGGCCTGCAGCAGTCGTATGTCGACACTGAAAGCTACTGTATGGACGACACGACAGCAACACGTTAGTAATATGTAACGACATTTGATAAATTTAATTTAAAAAAAAGCTTGAAATCACTCTTAATCCGCAAAATGTATTGGTTGTAAAAGTAAAAGAAAATGCTTCAATTTTTCATGCAAATGAAATACCTCTCGGGTTCCATAATACAAAACAAACGTACAAAGAACATGTTTGTTACTAATTTCGACGTTAAGCCAATAAGCATAGCACTCTTTTTTGTCGATGAAAATGTTTTCGTTTCGGCGCGATCCTTTCATCGCATTTCAACTACAGTATATAAAGATTAAGGCGACAAACAGCATTAAGCGCGTAATTACTTAATACATTGCAGTCTGAGTAAAATAATGGAGAGAAATACAATAGCGGCTGTATGAGACACCACATCGCTCTTGTTACATCGGGTCACTATCAAAATTGTGTTGTAACCATGTAGTTGTCACGATTTCCCTATACATTTCACAATAGTTACACACTCACAATTATACTTTTAAAAGACCGTAGATAGATAACCACAGCCTATTTGTGTTTCAGGGATGTCCAATGCGGCTAAGAGCGCCCCCATTATGGCCCTAAGCAGTTCCGCTAGTGACCTCCGACCCTCTGGCCACTATGGTAATTGAAGCCCTAATCGAAGCGTGTGCATGTCTATATGTATTGTATAAGAATAAAGTTTCACATGAGAGTTGTTCACTCAAACTGAAATTTATTTCTGTTATACGATATTTATCGTTGGAAAGGATAGACTATCTTGTCAGATAGACTATCTTGTCAGATAATCTTGTCAGATAGACTATCTTGTCAGATAGACTATCTTGCAGTAGAAAACTGGATATTTTCAAGCTTTGACACGGACATTTTGTTGTATATATTTCATAGTGAAATATTAAAGTGTTGTCATGATTGTGCTACAATATGTATTATACCATGTAAACACGACATTATTGTTACATTATCAATTGTATTAAAATTAGGAACACGGTTAATATAATACACTGTTTATGCGAAAATTATCTGGACTACTGACAGAATTTATCTTGAGCGCAAGTAATTCTCCTATACTGAAAATTCACTGCCGGGCATTTTTGGACTGTGTATTTCTTTGCAAATGTGTTAATAGTGCTTATATATTATGCACACAATATAGTCATTTTTACATATGGCAATGCTTCCAGCATCAAAATGGTACATCAATGAATATTTCAGATACAATGACAAAAGCATGGCAATCTAGATCATACCAAGAACCAGCAGCTTCCAACCCCCTTTCAGATGGCCAGAGAGAAGGTGATTCTTTTTTAATTTCCGAAAAATTGGCAATAAAACACGTTATTTCATATGGCGTTGAAATCTCTTACATCTTTTGATACCGGGCGACATGAATATTTATCTGTCACCCAAATTGCATTCATATCGACTGTATACTACATCTGGTAACAGTTCAATGCTTATATTTACATTTATATGTATATAGTTTGTTTTGTATAGTAACTGAAGCAAAAATACATTTGAATTTCCCGCTTATCATATCAGTGACGTCAGTAAGTTCAAATCCCAGAACAGCCGACATTTCCAGAAGAAATAATATAGTCCCATGTGTCATTGAAAATCACACGCACATAAAATTGTTTGAACACAAACTTAACTTTATTATTTATTTCATATGAGTGTGTTTATGTTGAAAAATTGTTAATGATTGCATAACTTCTGCTTGTTCAAAATCAAAGCTGTTTTTCGCGCATTGATAGATTACATGTATTTTGAAGTGATGCGGCGCTGAACGGACTTGATTGGTTTCCTCGGAAACGCTTATGTTTCCTTCGACTGAAATATTACGTTATTTTCAGAAGCATATATACTCGGAAACGTTTAATTAAAGTGGTCCTTTCAGTAGGTGATAACGATTCCAAGGACATTTCGTTTGAAATAGATTCCATGTCTAATCGGTCAGATTAGCATCGCTAGCAGACGACGTTCACAGGGGTTCGGTTTCGTGATTTTGAGTAATGGATGACATCACTGAAAAACCACAACACTTAAAAAGGTATTAATACACATTTTAAAACCTTTTCGATACCCTCGACTTTAACAAGGTTTTAGAAATGCTGAATTTTAGTGTTGTGGTTATTCACTGATGTTATGCATAACTCAAAATCTCGAAACCAATCCCCTGTGTGATGACGTTGACAAACTTGGTAATTTCGTATCTAGGATGGCGCTTACAATGATTTTATGGTACCTACACATCTTATAATAAATTTATATTGGCATAATTTGTCAAGTTGCTTTATTTTTTTTGTGATGACCTAAATTGCTAAATGCTAACGAACCAAGAATGTTTTCCGACTATAAGCCTATTGATACCGTAAGTATCGGGCGGCCATGTTTGTTTATATTGTACCAGCTGTTTTCCTACACTGGCCGTATCACTGTTACTTGTAGTATACAGTCTCATATACTGCAATTTGGTTTACTAACGACATATAGGCAAATGCAACACCGAATGTAAATATAATATGATATGCTTACAAGACTTCACAAAAGTACATTTACTATACTTCTACTAAGGCGATTCCACCTGGTTTGATGAGCATCCCCCGCAGTGCCGATTTCCATTGCGAAGGAGTAGTGAATCGGACAAGGACAGTATACGTGCAAGTAACACAAGCCGGGAAAGTCGCAAGGTATTAACTATATTGTCGTTGTGTGTTGACGGTATCGTATATATCATCGTTGTGTGTTGACGGTATAGTATATATCATCGTTGTGTGTTGACAGTATAGTATATATCATCGTTGTGTGTTGACAGTATAGTATATATTGTCGTTGTGTGTTGACAGTATAGTATATATCATCGTTGTGTGTTGACAGTATAGTATATATTGTCGTTGTGTGTTGACAGTATAGTATATATCATCGTTGTGTGTTGACAGTATAGTATATATTGTCGTTGTGTGTTGACAGTATAGTATATATCATCGTTGTGTGTTGACAGTATAGTATATATTGTCGTTGTGTGTTGACAGTATAGTATATATCATCGTTGTGTGTTGACAGTATAGTATATATTGTCGTTGTGTGTTGACAGTATAGTATATATCATCGTTGTGTGTTGACAGTATAGTATATATTGTCGTTGTGTGTTGACAGTATAGTATATATCATCGTTGTGTGTTGACAGTATAGTATATATTGTCGTTGTGTGTTGACAGTATAGTATATATCATCGTTGTGTGTTGACAGTATAGTATATATCATCGTTGTGTGTTGACAGTATAGTATATATTGTCGTTGTGTGTTGACAGTATAGTATATATCATCGTTGTGTGTTGACAGTATAGTATATATTGTCGTTGTGTGTTGACAGTATAGTATATATCATCGTTGTGTGTTGACAGTATAGTATATATTGTCGTTGTGTGTTGACAGTATAGTATATATCATCGTTGTGTGTTGACAGTATAGTATATATTGTCGTTGTGTGTTGACAGTATAGTATATATCATCGTTGTGTGTTGACAGTATAGTATATATTGTCGTTGTGTGTTGACAGTATAGTATATATCATCGTTGTGTGTTGACAGTATAGTATATATTGTCGTTGTGTGTTGACAGTATAGTATATATCATCGTTGTGTGTTGACAGTATAGTATATATTGTCGTTGTGTGTTGACAGTATAGTATATATCATCGTTGTGTGTTGACAGTATAGTATATATTGTCGTTGTGTGTTGACAGTATAGTATATATCATCGTTGTGTGTTGACAGTATAGTATATATTGTCGTTGTGTGTTGACAGTATAGTATATATCATCGTTGTGTGTTGACAGTATAGTATATATTGTCGTTGTGTGTTGACAGTATAGTATATATCATCGTTGTGTGTTGACAGTATAGTATATATTGTCGTTGTGTGTTGACGGTATAGTATATATCGTAGTTATGTGTTGACAGTATAGTATATATTGTGGTTGTGTGTTGACAGTATAATATATATTGTTGTTATGTGTTGACATTATAATATATATTGTTGTTATGTGTTGACGGTATAGTATATATTGTTGTTATGTGTTGACGGTGTAGTTTATATTGTCGTTGTGTGTTGACGGTATAGTATATATTGTCGTTGTGTGTTGACAGTGTAGTTTATATTGTTGATGTGTGTTGACAGTATAGTATATATTGTGGTTGTGTGTTGACAGTATAGCATATATTGTCGTTGTGTGTTGACAGTATAGTATATATTGTGGTTGTGTGTTGACAGTATAGTATATATTGTGGTTGTGTGTTGACAGTATAGTATATATTGTCGTTGTGTGTTGACAGTATAGTATATATTGTCGTTGTGTGTTGACAGTATAGTATATATTGTCGTTGTGTGTTGACAGTATAGTATATATTGTCGTTGTGTGTTGACAGTATAGTATATATTGTCGTTGTGTGTTGACAGTATAGTATATATTGTCGTTGTGTGTTGACAGTATAGTATATATTGTCGTTGTGTGTTGACAGTATAGTATATATTGTCGTTGTGTGTTGACAGTATAGTATATATTGTCGTTGTGTGTTGACAGTATAGTATATATTGTCGTTGTGTGTTGACAGTATAGTATATATTGTCGTTGTGTGTTGACAGTATAGTATATATTGTCGTTGTGTGTTGACAGTATAGTATATATTGTCGTTGTGTGTTGACGGTATAGTATATATTGTCGTTGTGTGTTGACAGTATAGTATATATTGTCGTTGTGTGTTGACGGTATAGTATATATTGTCGTTGTGTGTTGACAGTATAGTATATATTGTCGTTGTGTGTTGACAGTATAGTATATATTGTCGTTGTGTGTTGACAGTATAGTATATATTGTCGTTGTGTGTTGACAGTATAGTATATATTGTCGTTGTGTGTTGACAGTATAGTATATATTGTCGTTGTGTGTTGACAGTATAGTATATATTGTCGTTGTGTGTTGACAGTATAGTATATATTGTCGTTGTGTGTTGACAGTATAGTATATATTGTCGTTATGTGTTGACAGTATAGTATATATTGTCGTTGTGTGTTGACAGTATAGTATATATTGTCGTTGTGTGTTGACAGTATAGTATATATTGTCGTTGTGTGTTGACAGTATAGTATATATTGTCGTTGTGTGTTGACAGTATAGTATATATTGTCGTTGTGTGTTGACAGTATAGTATATATTGTCGTTGTGTGTTGACAGTATAGTATATATTGTCGTTGTGTGTTGACAGTATAGTATATATTGTCGTTGTGTGTTGACAGTATAGTATATATTGTCGTTGTGTGTTGACAGTATAGTATATATTGTCGTTGTGTGTTGACAGTATAGTATATATTGTCGTTGTGTGTTGACAGTATAGTATATATTGTCGTTGTGTGTTGACAGTATAGTATATATTGTCGTTGTGTGTTGACAGTATAGTATATATTGTCGTTGTGTGTTGACAGTATAGTATATATTGTCGTTGTGTGTTGACAGTATAGTATATATTGTCGTTGTGTGTTGACAGTATAGTATATATTGTCGTTGTGTGTTGACAGTATAGTATATATTGTCGTTGTGTGTTGACAGTATAGTATATATTGTCGTTGTGTGTTGACAGTATAGTATATATTGTCGTTGTGTGTTGACAGTATAGTATATATTGTCGTTGTGTGTTGACAGTATAGTATATATTGTCGTTGTGTGTTGACGGTATAGTATATATTGTTGTTGTGTGTTGACAGTATAGTATATATTGTCGTTGTGTGTTGACAGTATAGTATATATTGTCGTTGTGTGTTGACAGTATAGTATATATTGTCGTTGTGTGTTGACAGTATAGTATATATTGTCGTTGTGTGTTGACAGTATAGTATATATTGTCGTTGTGTGTTGACAGTATAGTATATATTGTCGTTGTGTGTTGACAGTATAGTATATATTGTCGTTGTGTGTTGACAGTATAGTATATATTGTCGTTGTGTGTTGACAGTATAGTATATATTGTCGTTGTGTGTTGACAGTATAGTATATATTGTCGTTGTGTGTTGACAGTATAGTATATATTGTCGTTGTGTGTTGACAGTATAGTATATATTGTCGTTGTGTGTTGACAGTATAGTATATATTGTCGTTGTGTGTTGACAGTATAGTATATATTGTCGTTGTGTGTTGACAGTATAGTATATATTGTCGTTGTGTGTTGACAGTATAGTATATATTGTCGTTGTGTGTTGACAGTATAGTATATATTGTCGTTGTGTGTTGACAGTATAGTATATATTGTCGTTGTGTGTTGACAGTATAGTATATATTGTCGTTGTGTGTTGACAGTATAGTATATATTGTCGTTGTGTGTTGACAGTATAGTATATATTGTCGTTGTGTGTTGACAGTATAGTATATATTGTCGTTGTGTGTTGACAGTATAGTATATATTGTCGTTGTGTGTTGACAGTATAGTATATATTGTCGTTGTGTGTTGACAGTATAGTATATATTGTCGTTGTGTGTTGACGGTATAGTATATATTGTCGTTGTGTGTTGACAGTATAGTATATATTGTCGTTGTGTGTTGACAGTATAGTATATATTGTCGTTGTGTGTTGACAGTATAGTATATATTGTCGTTGTGTGTTGACGGTATAGTATATATTGTCGTTGTGTGTTGACGGTATAGTTTATATTGTGGTTGTGTGTTGACAGTATAATATATATTGTCGTTGTGTGTTGACGGTGTAGTATATATTGTCGTTGTGTGTTGACGGTATAGTATATATTGTCGTTGTGTGTTGACGGTATAGTATATCTCTTTTCCTCGCTTTGACGCCATCATTATTTTTTCTCCATTTTGACGCCACTGTTTATCTTTTTTTTTTTGTTATGACGCCGTTGTGTATATTTTCCTTGTTTTGACACTGTTGCTAAAGATGTCCTGTGTGTTGACGCAATGGAGATGTTTCTATAGTATTGAAAACTATTGTACATGTAAGCATACAGTTCACATATATAAAGAAATGTATCAAGGAAGTAAACATATGAACGCAATATTGAATTTAGGACGATATTTTCTCTCTTATTACACACACTTCTTCCTGGTCACAATTCCTAACACTTTTGTGGTATCGATTGAAAGCAGCGTGCTCGTATTTCATTGTGAATACAATCCGAGGTAAGTGTTTTTGTGCCTGCTCTCCTGTAACACGTTATAACGGGTACATGTGCACTCAGGTGTTCACAATTTCATGTAGGTATCCATTGTATCGACACCCCTGCAGGTGGAGGTTCGGGAAAAGCATAAACCTGCTTGTATCGTAGGAGGCGACTAATGGGGTAACCCCCTGCAGAATTGGGTATTTGCTTTGGGCTCCTCTATTTGGGGATACAAAAGCGACCAAAATAAATCTGCTGCACCCATTGCAATATTTGGGATCTTTAAATTTCTTTCTACTTCAAACTACCTTTTCATTTTTCTAGCGCCTTGCTTGGCAACACCTCACTTTTGGCCTTAATGTTGAGCGTTCGCCCAGGTGGGGAAGACAATGGGTTCTATCCCCAGGCCGGGACATATCAAAGTCCTCAAACATGGTAGTTGTTATTCCCTGCTTAACGTTCAATATTAAGGGAAATGGCAACAACTGGTTCACCCGTTGTCAGTATAATGTGACCGGGCGGAGTGCTGTGCTTGGTGCCTTGCATGACATTTCAATGAGATAGCACTATAAAGTCGGCATCAGATCCGCGCTATCACAAGGAGGTAAGCACACCACCATACCATGTCTCTTACATACACACACGCAAGCACGCATACACTACACACATGGAGGTACGTTCTTAAATTACCTTAGCTGTTAATAGGACTTTAAACAAAGTTAAACCAAACCAAACCAAATCATTGTATCGTGTTTAACATGACTGAGCCCTAACAACTACAATTGAAACACTTAGTAAGGTGACATTTACTTCAACTGGCGATTATTATTCTCTTTATTCCCTTCGAATCGAAGATTCACAAACAGAACAATACATATATGCATTCATTGAAGATTGACAAAATTCAAAAAATAAATTGTATTGTAAAGTAAGGGTTACGCTGTTATTAACTCCCCTCTACGATCCTTAACTTATCTTAAGTTACTTAAGAGAGATGGCCATCATACGAAATACAGAAGAAGGAAAAATGTTACAATTGACACATTATAAAGATTAGGTTAAGACATCATTTGTAGTATAGTTTGCACATTCTGAATATACAAGTTACAGGTTTTATGCGAAAGTCATCTAACTCCGATGATTTCAACTCATGCCACACATTTCCTCCAATGAGGATATGAAACAGATCTTAATCAGACATGGAATGTAAGTACACACTAAACATTATGTCTTTTATATTTATAATATCACACCATAAATTATCTCTTAACTCTCCTGTAAAATCACATTGTAGAACTATATGGGTGGCTATATCACTGTACATAAAGCCACATTTATGACATAATTCTTCACCCTCACACTCTCTGATAGTTACAATTAATTTCATGACATATTGTATAGCTTCTCTTTTGGCGGGGAATTTAAACGCCAGTCTCCTTAATACATGTGGTAGTAAATGATCGTGGATAAGAGAAAATCTAGAATACTCGCCATCATTGGCCATTCTTTCTCGCCACGCTAATTCCTCTACTGAGTATACGACATTCTTTACTTTAACACGCAACATACATTTAGACGGAAAAGCACAGTTAGTTATGAAATCATTAAACACTTCAAACAATTTATACTTTTGCAGTATTCTTAGTTCATCAACTGCGAACCCTTGTCTATTTGAACTTAATTTAGATTCTATATCAACGAGAAAATATTTTGTAAAGAATACACGAGACGACACATTCGTCTTATCTAATCTACATAACACACCTAGGGACAACAATTTCTTAGTGTCTATATATGATTCTTTACTGGTCCATCCAAGTAGACTTGTACACATATCTGTACGGGTTTTAGCCTCAAAACCTTGTATTGCTTTCAAGATGAAATGTTGTGCTCTTTCAAGCATTAATATTTCTGATCTGGATAATCACCATAATTCACAACCATATAAGGCTGCAGTATACACTTTTCATTTCATAATTCCACTTATAGTTAGTGGATTCAAAGCACTTGGATGGGCTCTACATCGAATGATGCTCATGGTTCTGCTTACATGCACGTAAGGTACGCTCTATTGAATTAAATTTACTGTTCAGCATTAACACCACCAACATGGACGATATCATCAACATTCGGAAGAACACAATTATATAAATACAGAGTCTTACCTTCAATATTTCTTCTTTTACAGGAAAAAGTTTCAATTTTACTTTTAGCAGAAGAAAATGTAAATCTCCATTTCTTACTGTACTCTTCACATATAGAAAGCATGTATTGCAGATCAGAATATTTAGTACTAATTACACATATATCATCTTCTTGTGTGGGAATGTTAACTCGCAGATCTGCTATTACTGTACCCTTCTCACATTTTTCAATATTGTTCAACAATTCATTTATAAAAACAAGACACATTTTTCCTGAAAGAGCACTTCCCTGTAAGATACCGCGCTCCATTGTTACCCATCTTGATCTCAATCTGTTCACTAAAATACTACTTTGTACATTGGTTTACATATTTTTCATAATGTTCAATGAATTACATTTATTCCTAATTCGTTCAGTTTAAAAAGCAACCCAGCATGCCAAACGGTGTCGAAAGTCTTATTCCTATCGAGAAATCCTACATGTACGTCTTTTCCTGTCTAGGTGTTATACCGTATACATTCTAGAAGATTTAAAGATGTTAGCAGACAACATAACCCCTTTTGATATGCTAATTGTTGCCTGTTTGGGAAAGTATCCGTGCTAAGGACAGGATCGAATCTCTTTGACAAAATCATTTCAATCTTTTTTGAATATTACAGGTAACTCCTCAACCTTTCAGGTCATCTTTCGGTTTACCATTTCCCTTATACAGTGTTATGATAAGGCCTTTTTTTCCAATCATCAGGTATATGTTGAGACTTAATGAAAGCATTGTATAACTTCGACAAGTGACTATATAGCAATTCACTCCCGTGCTTGAAGTGTTCATACACAATATTATTAATCCCTCCAGCTTTGTTTACTTTGTATTTACAACATCTATTTTTGATTTCACGCTCTGTAACAGGGTCATCCAATTACTTGTCCTTTCCATTGTAAAGCCCAATTTCAATGTCGCTAACATATTTTGATATCTCGCTCTGAGAATTGTTATCGAAACGATTGTCTGCCTTATCAGTAAATATATCTTCGAAATGGCATGCCCATTTTCCTAATATTTCGTTTGGATTACGATAAGTGACTCCGTCGTACTTCAACTCAGTTTGAGCATATTATTTCTTTGGCGTTTTGCTCTTTAATAGTTGCTAAAATAATTGCTGGTCAATTTCTCCAGAGTTATCTATCTCTGTAAACTGCGCTGTCATGTACTTCTCAAACGCTTGCTGAAATCAGTTTTAGCCTGTTTGTACTCTCTGTAACTATCATTTAATACATCTCGTGGATTCCCATCCCTCGCCCATATCGCTCTGACCCCTATCATGGTATCGTGAAACAATGCCAGCTGTTCATTCCAGTATGGCTTTAGATGCTTTTCAAATTTTACTTCAGGTATAGACTGTTTAGCCGAATTTAGTAATGCTGACACAATTTCATTACTATATATATCGATTTCATCCTGCGCTATTACTTCAGTACCTGGTTCGCGTATACATCGTTTATACATAGCTGTGTTACATTTATATTCTCTCCTGTTCTCATACATGGATATTACCAAAAGATATTGTCATATTTACTTAAAACATGTGAGGAAATAACAGCCTTAGATTTACCATGACGGGTGTTTAACTAAGATATGTACATTTCAGGTCAGTGGATCATTCGGACAGAAAAAGCAATCATTTTCAAAAACAATCTTCAAAGTCTTTAAAATAAAGAGGAAAAATTCGATGTCATCAGCTCCGGAGAAAACCATACCAGAAGAAGCCCACATTAGCCAGGTCAGTATATTTCATATTTTCGGCAGAAAGCTTATCAACTGCTGTTCCAATTTCACGGGAGTTGCACTGTCGGTGAGACGGATATGTATGGATGTATATATGAAGTCGAAGAAACTCTTTTGTTGATTAACTTCTAAATGAAACAGTACAAATGATACCAATAATGCTTAAGTTTATAATACTAACCAATTTTTAACACTTTTGTTTCCAGATTGTCTTTTTCTGTAAACTTCCTAATGTTGTTTTTTGTATCTTTCGCTATCACTTTTCCATTTGGCATGAAAGGAAAACTTAACACATGCTATTTTTGAAAATGGCTGTTATAGTAGATATTTGATAACAGGAGGTAAATTGTCATGTATTTAAACAAAACGACATGCAATACCACAAATACTGTACACCAGTGAAATATTTTACTGTACGTGTTTAACTTTTGTGTGTTAATGCTTTCCTTTCTGCTGTTTAAATTACGATGATTTGAGTATTTTGTCGCGTGTTGTTATTAACTAGTGGTGCTATGGCTCTATTTAACAGACTGCAACAGAGGAACGCGGACGTGGATTCCCATGTAGTCCCATTGTATCCTATGATGGTAAGACACTTGTTACCAGATTTACACAATACTTTTTGTTTTTATTCACTTTTGATAAATATCATCGGTTGTTATGAAATACTTGTCAGAGGAAACAGCACTAGGAGCTGTTTAAGAATGTGAGAGAATGTTTTGGTGTTAAATGCCTCGAGATTGTACTTTTATGTACTCATGTCAACTCTATCTCAGACGTTCAGGAAGAGGAAGAGACTGTGCTGTCCCCTGAGCCGCCGATGAAAGGAACAAGCGCACTACTAAGAGAAACACAAATAATAGAGGTATATACTTCTTGTCTGTATACGTTTCACGCATTGAAAATAAATTATTGGGGTGTTATAAAAATGACCTAAATGACTTAGATACAAATCAACTTCACGTTAGTGAGAGTCGTTTGTTTCAATAGTCAGACTTTTGGATCAGTAGATAGATATAATCTTGCTAAAATTCCATCAGAGCAAGTTTAGTCGTGCACAACGCCAAACGTGAGTCATTGTTATAACACTTTATTAAGCAGATAAAATGTGTTCGGGTAAAAGATTTTGACATCTATACAGCACCAACTTTATGAAGTTGTGTAGAATATAAGTTATTGTATATACAACACTTAAAGAGAATATTTATTATCACTCATATAATAGATAATTTACTGTACTATCATATTTTAATAATTTTAGCAAACAAAAGTGGAGCATGAAGTACCAAAAAGATCCTACAAAAAAATCAAAAATCCGTTCAAAAAGAAAATTGATGTAAGTGTATAGAGATTTTATAGTTCATTAATATCTGAACCTTCTTTATGGAATATGTGATGTAAGTGTATAGAGATTTGATAGTTCATTATTATCTGAACCTTCTTTATAGAATATGTGATGTAAGTGTATAGAAATTTGATAGTTCATAAATATCCGAACCTCCTTTATGGAATATGTGATGTAAGTGTTAAGAGATTTGATAGTTCATTGATAGCTGAACCTCCTTTATGGAATATGTGATGTAAGTGTATCGAGATTTGATTTTATAGTTCATTGATATCTGAACCTCCTTTATGGAATATGTGATGTAAGTGTATCGATATTTGATTGAATAGTTCATTGATATATGAACCTCCTTTATGGAATATGTGATGTAAGTGTATCGAGATTTTATAGTTCATTGATAGCTGAACCTCCTTTATGGAATATGTGAGGAAATAAGACATTTTTATCAATTGGCAGACATGTTAGGTCAAAATAGAAAAGTATGCTACAGTGTGAATTTGTTGAGTAATTGAGCTCAGGTCAGTGCCATGCAAAACAAAAAATAATTCCTGGTGAAAAAATATTATCAATAGAGTTTGAGAATGTAATAATCAAATACGTTCCTAAGATAAAAGGAATTGTCATGAAGGCACCTATAACCGAAACCTTACACTTGGGGACAAATTATCAAGTCTTCGTTGTTTTTTGGGGGAGGTCCAAGTGATTTGTTTTGTTTTGATGTTAGTTCCAACATTTATTTTTCGTTTTAACTTAGTCTGAGTTTGTCCATATGTGATGATTGTTTAGTATGCGAATTGGTGAGGAAAATATCTGTATGTATCAGTATTTTAAATAGGAATAGATAAATTCACCAGGAAATCTTTATTAATGATGATAATTATACTCCACTTAATATGTGTATCTGGGTTACTTCCTTGTAGTGGACAAATACTAACCAAGGCTACACTCTAGTGTCAATATTGACATTAGCCTGTGATATAGATCCTCGGGTTGTAGTGCCATATTGCTGTCCACAACGTTTCCTTGTCCGTATAGAATATTGTCACCAAGGTATCAGAATAGGTTTATTTAAAGATATATCTCTATTATCTGTGGTATTAAGATAACGACAGCATATTGTGCATTCCTTTATTTTCTCTAATATTCTATTTAAAGTGTCTTTGTGTAGATACAAAAGTAAACCTCAGCTAAAATCTCACGTAATTCTGGTTGATTTTTCAGAGACGTAAATCACTGCGGGTGAGCCGAGTCCTAAAGGATAACAATGTTGTTGTACTTGCATTGCCAACTAAACATGATGTGAAGGTATGAAACGTGACTTCATGTCGACGGTATAGAAACTGATGCGTGACATTATGAGAACAGTATTCATATTGAAATGCGAATTTATATCGACAGTATAGGAACTGATGCGTAGCGTTATGCGAACAGTATATGTATGGTAGGAACTGGTGCGTGACATTAGGTGAACAGTGTTTGTATGATGCGTGAATTTATGTCGAAAAACAATATTTGTATGATACGTGAATTTATGTCGACAGTATAAAAACTGATACGTGATATTATGTGAACAATTTGTGAACTGTTACGAGATTGTTTTTCAACAGTTCTGCTACATAACTTTTAGAGGCCAGTGTGGAAACTGGTGTGTGGTTAATGTCAACAGTATGTGTACTGGGTAGATAATTGCTGTTTGACGATGGTGGATTGGTCACCTTTGTGCGTAACTGTAAAAACCTTACAGGATAAAGTGTCATCTAGTGTGTTTTCAGAAGTGACTTATGAAGATTTATTTTTATCAACGATATCCATTATCCATGTAGTTTCCGGTTAACCATTTTTTTAAACTTCATACTTGATTAAATACAATGCTACAATTCAAATTTATTCCAATATATTAAGATATATGTTTTTGCTACTAGTGTCCCATCTCTTAATGCATTGTATTCTGTTAATTCATCAAATATAAGGAGCAGGACTGATGTTGTTTATGTTTTCCTTTTCATCCCGACAGGTTCATAACAACGTTTGTTTACTTTATAGTTGGATTTAGGTTTGTAAATATGTTATAAGTATTTTGTTTTATATAATAATGTTTATGTGTATATTAAACGTATTACTACTGTCATAGTGGTAAAGCCCATGGGTAACTCAAGATTCATACAATTAACACCAACATTCTGTGCTTTAAACGTTATACGCATTGTCCAAGTTAAGCAAAATCACATTTCATTCCTCAAATGTTATCAAATATTTCACGAGTTATTCCTACAAATGCATTACCCTGGCCATGTCATTATGACAGTAGTATAGAAACAAAAACAATGCAAATTTCATTACATATCGTTATACCCTTATTTTGTTAAACATTCCAATTTAGTATAATTCGTTTACTTCATATCTCTTATTATTTTAGAAAACACGCAATATATTTGAATAGCGATATCTAAATAAATTTCTCCATAGACTTTTGTACTAAGAATGTTGAGGTATTAATTTATATGTAAATAAATTAGTCTAAAATGACTTGTGTTCCTTTATCTTCATATGATTGCTGGTCATGACACTAGCAAGAATCGTACGGCCAAATGAACGGCGAGTTGTTTTGATATGTCTACAATGTATAACACAGTTGACTATCTGCTTATACAATATAGCTAAACTGTATAGCACAGTGGACTGTCTAATCAAAATACTGTTTATACACTGTAGCTAAACTGTATAGCACAGTGGACTGTCTAATCAAAGGAGTGTTTATACACTGTAGCTATACAGTATATCACAGTGAACTGTCCAATCAAAGGAGTGTTTATACACTGTAGCTATACAGTATATCACAGTGGACTGTCTAATCAAAATACTGTTTATAAACTGTAGCTATACAGTATATCACAGTGGACTGTCCAATTAAAAATACTGTTTATACACGGTAGCTATACAGTATATCACAGTGGACTGTCCAATCAAAGGGGTGTTTATACACTGTAGCTATACAGTATATCACAGTGGACTGTCTAATCAAAATACTGTTTATAAACTGTAGCTATACAGTATATCACAGTGGACTGCCTAATCAAAATACTGTTTATACACTGTAGCTATACAGTATATCACAGTGGACTGCCCAATCAAAATACTGTTTATACACTGTAGCTATACAGTATATCACAGTGGACTGTCTAATCAAAGGAGTGTTTATACACTGTAGCTATATAGTATATCACAGTGGACTGTCTAATCAAAGGGGGGTTTATACACTGTAGCTATACAGTATATCACAGTGGACTGTCTATTCAAAAGGCTGTTTATACACTGTAGCTATACAGTATATCACAGTGGACTGTCTAATCAAAGGAGTGTTTATACACTGTAGCTATACAGTATATCGCAGTGGACTTTCTAACCAAAGGGGTGTTTATACACTGTAGCTATACAGTATATCACAGTGGACTGTCTAATCAAAATACTGTTTATACACTGTAGCTATACAGTATATCACAGTGGACTGTCTAATCAAAAGAATGTTTATACACTGTAGCCTTACAGTACAGCACATTGGACTGTTTGATCCAAAGAGTCACCTCACTTCATCTATTCTCTTTATGTCGGTCGGCATTTAAGGCCCTGATACATTCTTTTCATTTGACACGGTCTTTAGCTGTTGTCCTTGCTGTGGCCCATCTGTTCCATCCGAGTGTTGTTCTTTCTGTCTTAACAGTCCGTATCCAGGTGGTTTTGGGACGTCCTACCTTCCTTTTCCCTCTGGTTTCCATGTCAGTGCCACTGAACAGATGCTCTCGTTGTCCATTCTTAGTACATGGCCAATCCATCTCCAACGACGTTCCATAAAAACATCACTAAGTGTCTTTGTTCCAGCTCTGATGTGAAGGTTTTTTATTTGATATGGTGTTGAGCCATCTTATTTTCAGAATTTGTCTCAGACATTTAGTTTGGAAGGTGTTCAATTTCTTTTTGTCTTGCTCTGTTGTTTACTGGGTTTCACATCCATACAGTAGAACTGAAATAATTAAGCTGTTAAATAGCCTGACCTTTGTTTCGAATGACAGTACTGATGATCTCCATATTTTTCTTTACCAGCTGAATTGGCCTTTCGCTTTCTTGAACCTGTTGTCTATGTCATTGTCACAGCCACATTTTGTTGTTACTATTCCTCCTAGGTAAGTGAAGGTATCAACATACTCTAGGTCTTTCTCATTCAACTTCACTGGGTTGTTATTAGTGGTGTTCATCTGCATTACTTTAGTCTTGGAAGTATTTACCTTCAATCCTATCTTGGTGGCATTTTGTTGAAGTTTGTTTGTTTTCAGTTGTGTATGTTGGAATTTGGAAGATAGTAGTGCAAGATCATCTGCGAAATCAAGGTCTTCTAATTTGGTGGTAAATTTCCATCGTATTCCTGTTTCATGTTCTTTTGTTGTATGCTTCATGACATAGTCAATGGCTAACAGAAATAAGAGGCCAGACATCGCGCAGCCTTACTTTACTCCTGTTTTTACTTTGAACCAATCAGATTGTATCCCTTCGTCTATGACTGAACATTCAAATGTGTCATAAAAGAGTTTTATTACTGTGATGATTTTGTCTGGGATGTGATATGCTTTCATGATGTACCATAAGATTTCCCTGTGGATGAAATCAAAAGCCTTATCGAAGTCTACAAAAGTTATGTATAAAGGAGCATTCCATTCAGAACATTGTTCAATGATGTTTCGTAAAGTGAAGAGTTGCTCAGTAGTGGCTTTTCCCTTTCTGAAGCCAGCTTGTTCTTTTCTTAGCTCTTCATCTATTCCTTCCTGGATCCTTTGTATTAGGATTTTGGTGAATACCTTACTTGTCACAGATAGTAGTGTTATGCCTCTGTAGTTATCACATACCTTTCTATCTCGTTTCTTAATTATTTTAACAATAAGACCTTTACTCCATTCCTTTGGTATTTCCTCTCCTATCCAGATCATGTTGAAAAACTTAAGCAGATATTTTGTAGTTGTTATTGTATCTGCCTTTAGGATCTCAGCTGTTAAACCATCTATACCTCCTGATTTCCCATTTTTTAATCTTTTCAATGCTTTTGTAATTTCCTCTTTCCTGATAGGACCAGTATCTATCTCTCTTTCTTCAATTTTTTAGTTAAGATTGATGTCAAGTGGAATGTCTGGTCCAGTCTGTTTAAAACTTCTTCAAAGTGTTCTTTCCAACTTTCCAGTTTCTCATCATGGCTAGATAATGGATTTCCAGTCTCGCTTTGATGACTTGGGGTGGTTTTCGTTTTTCATTGCAAATTGTTCTTGTTACTTCATATACTGTTTTCATCATACCATTGCTTGCTGCTTTTTCTGCTTCTTCAATAAGGTTGTCTGTCCATTGCCTTTTGTCATTTCTCATACTTTTCTTAACCTCCTTGTCTTTTTTTACCCGTTCGGATCTACTGTTATTAGTTTTTTTTTTATTTCAGGTGTCTTCTCTCATCTACAAGTTAAAAAGAGTGTTTATACAATATAGCTGTATTGTATAGCACAGTGGACTGACTGATCAAAAGAGTGCTATACTCTGTAGCTGCAATGTATAGCGCCATACCAATGTGTTGCGTTTTGTTATACTGTATCATCCTAATATACTGCGTCTACAGTGTAAAAGCACAGTAGGTTGTCTAATCTACGGCGAGTTGATAAAATGTTTCCACATATGATCGGCGTACTGCAAGATCTAATTTGTTTTGTTGGGTAGAGTTAAATAAGGTGGTGACTATTTAAACATCATAACACATTAATATAGCTCGATTTTATTTATCAAGCTACTAGCAGGAAATAGGTTGTAAAAGGCTTTATAAGAAAGTATACATTATGTGTCCTCTTCCACATCTACACGATGTTTTAGGCTGGAATATGTTCATCAATACCTGATAAACTTGTCATTAATGTACCAACGACAGTCAAATTCATATAAAACAAGCAATATGTGGGCTTGGGAAATTGTTTAATGATGAAGTTGAGCAGCGAGTGTTTTGTTCTAGAAAGTATCAGGCATTAAGATAGCGGTACACAAGGAGTATATCGGTATAGTAATACGTTTTATTGTGATACAACATGATACAGAGTACAATATTGAAAAATAGAACCGGAAATGTTGATAGTTATGGTAAATTGTATAGGAAATGTTGATAGTTATGGTAAATTGTATAGGAAATGTTGATAGTTATGGTAAATTGTCTAGGAAAACACGATATATCAGTTTTGAAATGGTTATTTGGTTTTTTTTCACTTTGGAATGTATATTTTGCAGCTATACCGAGAAATGGTTAATCGAAGACAGTGAATGACAATGAAGATTAAAATGCAGATATGAACAAAGATGTGTTCAGTTACACTAACCTACACAAATAAAGACTGCTTAAAACAATAATATTGATTTTTTGGTTCAATTCTAAAAACGTAATGAAGTTGCTGTTCAATTTTAATCAATCTAATAACTACACATGACATATGGTTAAGAACTAAGAGAATATAAAGAGGAGAATACGGGTATAGTCATTTTGCTATCAGTAATAATACTTGTACTCGTAAATCTTCTGACCATTTGCTTTCCATAGAAACACCTTATGCAGCATTTCCAGCACAAGCATATGATGTAACAATTGATATCTGTTATACCCGAAAGTAGTATTGTTCTATTATCACTTCATAAAATGGTACAAAAATGAAGATAAACATATTATTCTAAAATGAAAAAAAGCCGAGTAAATCAGGAATAAGTGGAATCATCCAATTGTTAGGCAATCGTTCCATTTTAACAGATCTAACTACATGATAAGATAAACATAAAAAAACACGAATATACTTTCAGAAAACGCTGTACGCAGCTCAAATTTATAACATAAGAAATACTAGATTATGTTTCAAGATACGACCCAAAAACAGACATTAATTTTGATATATAATCCTCATTATGAAATATATTTCACAATCGTAATACCTGTTTATCAAGCAATGCAAATCAAATCCTTCAACTGTAAGGTTATTCTATCATTTCACAAATCAAACCCCATGACTACAAATAAGATCATAATATATATGATTATGATTTTATAGTAATTAAGAATATACTCTCAGACTGCATCTCAAATTTATAACAACCAAACAACAATATCCTCTGTTTTTTATCCTTCTAATTTACTCTCTTGCACACAACATCCTTAATCGTACTGTCCCGTGCCTGCGTATGTTGTGTATTCATGTACCCCACGCGGAGCCCGGGCTTCAATACGTTAACAGTTGAGCACGCAATTAAATCCGCCAGGCAGGCGGCAGGGATAAGGAAGGGCGGGAGTGCAGGATCGATGTCCTCCGCCTGTGCTAGCTGCGACAATTAACAGGTGACCATGCTTATCAGCTTCACTCAGTGTTGTAGAGGCAAATCCATGGGGAAATAAGGCTCACCACAGATGCATCAGCCCCATGGCAAAATTAATAGCTTCTCAGTGATGTCTAATATATATATGTG